GTTAAATGCTATGCTCCTTCCTTCCTTTCCTGGTTTCACTCCTGACTCTTCAGACTTCTCTGTGCTTTCTCTATGTTTTATTTTCTCTATTTTATTTCTCTATTTTATCCTTTCCACCCACGCCCCCATTTTTCACTTTCTTCTTTGTATGTTGTTTTCTCTCATTAGAATGCCAGCTTCTTGAGGGCAGGAACTGTCTTTGAAGAGTCAAAAAATGTCAGTCTTCATAGAATTGGGGGGTCACTAAGGGGCATTGTAACCCAAGAAGTACAAGGCACAGCACATATTCCCAGTGGAGGAAAAAATGTTTGGCCAGAAAAAAGATATAATAAGAATAAGGGATAACCTATGCACAGCCCACTCCACTGGCTTCCATGTCAAGAGATTTGGACAAACGCTCCCAGCATGTCTGGCAAACAAATCTCCTTTACAGGAATTTGTAGGAGAATATGGACAATAATCATCCAGGATAAGGCATGGATTGGTTCTAGCCTGCACTACTAGAGGGGGTATCTGCTTGGCTGCACTATAAACTCATTAACATATCAGAGTAATAGCTAAAATATTTCAAGTAGTGTTCAAAAATTGTGTGATGAGTGAAAAGTTTGAGAGTCTTAGTTTCTAATTAACTTATTGATTATTTTAATTAATTAATAACTTTATTAATTATGGCCAGCAATAATTAATAAAAGGGTGGTCATCGGTACCCTCTTTCTCTCTCTGACCTGGCCCCCAGCCTCTTCCTTACATTAGGTAAAGGTTGGTTTGTTTGTTTGTTTTTGTCCCCAGAGTTGGCGGGTGGGGAACAGACCACAGCCACCACCGTGTGGCTATGACCCACTCACTGCTTACTCTCAGGATCCTAGGGGTAAAAGAAATGATTATTTCTCTCATATTAATCACCAATTATTGAATTAAGACAAAGGTTTTTCCCCTTTTCTATTTCTTCATTCAGAAATCAGCCCCTATAGGGTTATTCAGGTAGCCTTTGAAGTATGGCACTGATAATGAGAGGGAAAATTCAAATCTGTTCAAAAAGAAATTTAAGTTTAGGTGAATTGATGAATTCTGGCCTATTGTGTTTTACTCAGACAGATCTGGGAAAATGTGGATTCTCCCTTTTGTGAGATTACCCTAGATGAGATAATATGGGTATAGATAAGTCTCTTTGACCAAGACTGAATGATCAGAGTCATATCTCCCAGACCCTCATTAGAATAACCTCACCTTCATTACAATATTCATTCTTCTCATTACTTGTTAACCAATCAGAGTTGACTTCAACCCTCAAGAACACCCATTCTATCTATGGGGTTTTCTTGGCAAAAATCCTGGAATGGTTTGTCATTTCCTTCTCTAGTTCACTTTACAGATGAGGAAACTGAGGCAAACAGGGTTAAGTGACTTGACCAGGGCCACACATACAGCTAGTAAGTACCTGAGGTCAGATTTGAACTTGAGTCTTCCCGATTCCAGGCCCAGCACTCTATTCACTGAGCCACCTCACTGACCCCCAGGGGAAAGCTGTTACTCTGCTATCCCTTCTGGTTCTCACAGTTCTTCTGAAAGACAAAGTTATTTCTCTGCTACTTTCAAGATGCTAGCACAATGACAAACTCTTTTAACACGCAGCCACCCTTAGAAGCATACTGAAAAAAAAAGTTACTCCTTATCAGTGACAAGCAGTTCCTTCAAGGCAGAGAGCTACTGAGCTTCCCAGATCTGCTCTGGCCTTTGGTGGATTCTTCCTGTCAAGTTGTAGATAGCAATAGGGAAATGTGGTCTTTCCCCCAGCTAGCTCCCCAAATAGTAGGAGACTGCTTTGCCCAATCAGTTCTCAGAAAAGCAAAGCAGATGCAAAGCCTGTCTTTTCCCCTCTGTTCCTTCCATCTGAGAAGACAGTCCAGGCTAACATAGGCTCCTAAGAAGTTTCCCTTCTCTCAGGCTAGCAGTGGTCAATTGGCGGTGTGTGTGGCCTGAGGGCAAAGTGCACATGCTTTGTGTTCAGAACCAAGGCTGCAGTGAAGTTGTGCAATGCAACACAGGCAAACGCTGCCAGAAACACCTCAGATTCATTAGATGTTTAATTTTAATTAATTTTTGGTCATTGTGCATTCAGAAACCTTTTAATGTTGCCAAATTTTTGTGACATGGGTCAAGTGCTGAATAGAGCAAGATTCTGCTGTCCTCCATGGAACCAGTCAGCTCTCAGAAAAGCACTGACTATTTTCCAATCTTCATGTGTCCCAGAAAAGAAGTCCTGTTAGCTCAGGGCCTGCCAGCTTCTGTGCTCTGCCTTCTATAAGCTATTTTCTTTGGAGCCTCCTTTTCTTTTTGTCCCTAGCCCCTTTTTCCCTTGTTTTCAGTTCTTCTTCTGGCTGGTAGTTACTATAGCTTCTCCTCTGTTTCCAATGCCTCAAATCAGGGCCTCTTGAAAGCAGTGACTCATCTCTAATTTTTTTTTTTGAGTAAGTGACTTGCCCAGGGTCACATAGCTAGTAAGTGTCTGAGGCCATATTTGAACTCAGGTTCTCCTGACTCTGGGACCAGTGCTCTATGCATTGCACCTAGCTGCCTTTTTCATTTCTAATTTATAATGTGAAACCCAACAATGCTCCCCTTCTGTCAGGTACAGCCCTAACAATCCTTGTATAATCTTCCCCCAGTCTATGAACAGTTATTTGATTGTTTAATCCTAATTTACAAACTGGTTATTAATATAATAGCCAATATATAATATGTAATAATGTTTAAAATATATAGTTAATATATTATATATTATAACATGATATATTATAACAATATTATAATATGATTGTATATAATATAATAATATATTATAAGATGATTATATATAATAATATATAATAAGATGATTATATATAATATGATTGTATATAATATAATAATATATTATAAGATGATTATATATAATAAGATGATTATATATAATATAACCAACATATAATAATATAATTCTTTGCATTAGTACATTATTTATTTAGCTGTATTAGTAAGGAATTTTTAGATATGTCATTTATGTATCTTTAATAGCCTATGTTGACAGCAAGGTGGCATCAGTGGATAGAGCTCTGGATGTGGCATCAGAAATAACTGAGTTTGAATCCTTACCTCAGACACTTACTAGCTGTATGACCCTGAGCAAAGTCACTTAACCTCAGTTTTCTCATCTGTAAAATGAGGACAGTAATATCACCAACCTCAGAGAGTTGTTGTGAGTGTACATAAAGTACTTTGCAAAACTTAAAACGGCTCTGTAAGTGATTGCTCTTAGCTACGAAAATCATAATTGAATTCCTACTAATTTGATGCCTTTGTTTTTTGAGTTGTTTTTTGTTGTCGTTGTTGTTTGTTTTTTTTTTTTACAATGATCAAAACCAGCCTTAGCTGTGAGGTGAGACTTGAAAAGCCATGGCTGGTTCATTCTGAAGGAATATCATTACTAAGTTTTAGTATGCTATAGACCTGTGCTTTTTTTGCAATCAGACACATCTTTCTACCACTTCATCCCAATGAGGACATGAGACTGACCTCTAACATAGAGAAGGATATCTACACTGTGTGTGTGTAGTCTAAGAAAAGTGTAAGATAGATGAATATTGTCAAATAAAATCTGTATTCTGACATGCTCTTAGGACAACTTTCTTATTAATTTATTTATTTTTAGTTTTCAACATTCACTTCCACAAGATTTTGAGTTCCAAATTTTCTCCCCACCCCAAGATGGCGTTTATTCTGAATATCCCTTACCCTAATCTGCCCTCCCTTCTATCTCTCCCCCCCCCTTCTTTAATCCCCTTCCCCTTCTTATGACAGCGGCATTATTAACTTTTCCTGTGGGAAATGAGGAGGACCATGAGGAGCCAAGGGCTATTAGCCTTGGCCACTCTTCTTAAGACCTCCTTCTGCTTTTCAATCTTTAGAATGAAAGATCTTGGGGACTATACATTATAAGCAACAGTAAATATAATTCCTCCTCCCCTTGCCTCTCACCCCCAATCATCTCACCTATCGAAATAATCACTTTGTTTTCTTATGCTGTTCTTTTTTTTTTTTTTGCTCATGTTTTGCTTACTTTCCAGAAATTGACCAAGTCTAAAAAATGGAAACTCCTACAAGATCAGCAAGTTGTAGCTCCAAGTTCCAACACAAACATTACAAAGGCCCCTTAGGCAAATTGTAATTATCTATGCTTTTAAGTGTAATATACTCAAAATGATCATTTTATAAGGAAATAAGTAAGAGGCAGGGCACTTTAGTGGAAAGAATATTGGGCTTGTAGTTAGAAAGCCTGGGCTTGACTTCTGGTGCTGTTATTTACTAGTTGGGTAACCTAAGGTAAATTACTTCTCTGGACCTCCATTTACTCACCTGTTAAGTGGGGAGGTCAGGCTTCATGACCTTTCAAGTCAGAATAGTTGCGTGAATTCACAGGATCATAGGTCTAGAGAGATAAAGGAGATCTACTTCAGCCTCTTCATTTTCTAGATAAGCATATTAAGGTCCAGAGAGATGTTAAATGATATGTCCAAAGTCACAGATAATATCCATAAGAGGCAGGATTTGAACATGGGTCCTTTTCTCTTTAGAGTCAGTGTTCTTCCCACTGGACCATTTCCCTTCTGATTCTGTAACAATAAAACATAGCTTTTGTTCCCAAACTGCCTAAATCTATAAAGCATGCTTTAATGACAATGCATATATTTCTGTTTTTGTTCCAAACTCCCTAATTTCCCAGGACAAAGTTTTTCCCCCCCCATTATTCTAAATTTCCCAGAAATGTTACTTCTCAGTTGAGGACTGTCAATGAAATCACCAGAGAGGTAAGTGAGACTGTAACTTTCCTGTGCCACAAAATGTGGAGAGTCAGTCATCAAACTGAAAGAGAAGAAAATAATAATGACAGAAATGTGGAAAGAGAATGAGGACGTATCATGCATCTTCCAGTTATGGTGACTGGGGTCATTCTGTGATTTCAGTGTCTGACCCGTCCAACGTGGAAGGCCTTTCCCAGTGGGGCTGATGTAGGGTGCACGGCCCCAGAAGTCTGGCGGTGACTTGGAAAAAGCAAAAGAGACGTATCATGAACATCAATTTCAAATCCCAGCCCAACCCATTGATCGGTGGTGATACTTCTTACACGACCAGAAATACAAATTGTTTTCTAGTCAGACACACTCCCCATCCTCGAAGAGTCTGCCATATTAAAGGTAAGGTGACTTAGCGCCATGGAATCTGTCTACAAACTGCTCATTTCAGCTGCCTGATCATTCTGAGAGCAAAACTATGTCTTTTACTGCTGTTGTTATTATTATTGTTGTTTGCCCTTCTCAAAGAGGACCATGACATCAGGAAGTTGATGTCTTGACTTGCAAATGAATTGGATTTAAGTGAGGCAGAGCTGTGCAAAGTCACCAGCCTCACTCTCTCCTCCATTTGCTGGGGTTTTGACAGCTCAGAATGAGTGTAAATAGTAATTGTTTCTATGTTGGGCCAGAAACCCTGAGGTCTTTCCCTCCTAGATTGATGTCTTGCTAGGACTTAATGTGAAGTTAAAATGTTAATTGAACCTGAAAATAAGCATCAGTGGTATAAGTTTCAAAAGTGATAGATGATTTTGATTTGACTTTAAAGACAAGAATGCCAACCACGCTAAAGAAGAAATGTGAACATGCATTACGTTTTCAGGAATACAGATTGAGTTTGTTGGCTAAAACCAATATTTTTGACCGAATTTATTTCAATGTGACAAATATTCATTAATTCCTAATATGTTGTGGGGAAACACTTGGGGAATACAGAAGCATGTGAAAAGATTGCCCTCAGTGACTGATGAGCACTTGGTCTGGAGGTAAAGGAGTTGGGCCAGATCCTCTGACCCCTTAACTTCTATGAACTTTAGCTAGCTTCCTCAAATATAAAAAAAGGTTCTAATCAGCCTCTGAGATCCTTTATTGGTCTGGGTTTATGATCCTATGAGCCACAAAATCTAGCTGATGTCATCCCCTACAATCACAACTTTTGCACTTAGAGCAAATGCCTGCATCTCTTATATCACTAAAAGGACAAAGGCCATGTGATGTAAGGTCCATTCAAATCTCTACATTCCTTATAATGCCTCAGCATTAACCAATCTGCTACTTCCTTCAGGTCATAAAGTAAGATATACTGTGCGCCTCACTATAACTAATAGCCTTGTGTCCATTCACTTCTGTCTTCTCCATGATGTCTCTATTCATGCCTTCTCTCTCATAGGACTTCATTCTCTCCTCTGCTCCTGGTTTTCTCTACTAGATTACAAACAGTTCTCTCCAGATTAAATAAATAAATAAAAGCCTTCCTTTGACTCTTCTATCCTATCCAGTTATACTCCTTTGTCTCTTCTATCTTTCATGACATTTCTTTTTTTAAATTTTTTTTTAATTTTTAGGCAGTTGGGGTTAAGTGACTTGCCCAGGGTCACACAGCTAGTAAGTGTCAAGTATTTGGTCTGAGGCCAGATTTGAACTCAGGTCCTCCTGACTCCAGGGCTGGTGATCTATCCACTGTGCCACCTAGCTGCCCCTTCATGACAACATTTCTTAAAAAAGTTATAAACTTGCAATATCTTTTTTCTAATAACCCATTTTTTTCTTTCACCCTTGTAATAAAGTTTCTGCCCCCATCATTTTATTAAAAGTAATTTATGACTAAAGTGTCACCAATGACCTCCTAATGACCAGCCCAATGGCTTTCATTCAGTACTTATCTTGCTTGATCCCTCTGAATTTTGAGATGCTATTGGCTACCATTTCAGATACATCATACTCACTTAGCTCACCATCTGTAACCATTCCTTCCTCGTCTGTCTTATCCTCATCCTCCTCCTATCTCTTTAACGTGAATGTTTTTAAGGTCCTTTCCTTGTCCTCTTTCTCTTCTATCTCCATGATCTCTCTAGACAATCTCCTTCCCTCTCATACTTTCAATTGTCACCTCTCTCTAGCCCTGACCTCTCTTTTAAATTTTAGACATATCTCCTACTACCCATAGGACATTGCTACCTCAATATCTCACTACAATTAATCTCAGCAAGTGGTATTGAGCTTATCATCTCCCCCAGTATCTCACACTAGATTGTTGTACTCAAGAGGCACTTTAAAATGTTGGTCTGATTGAGAGTACGTTGTATGTTATTAACTGGGATCAGAGAAGGCATGGGTGGGGGAGGGGAGGAAGAGATCTTCTATTACCCTAAACTCTGAAAATTCCTTATCTGACTGCAGTCTTTTGGCAACAAGGGCCCAGTTGAAGGAAGATAACATAAATCTGTAGTAGACCCAGTTAGCACGGTTCTGTGACTTCCTCTTACACCACTCGAAACACATGAGTAGGATTAGAGGAGGTGATGGAAAGGGTAATCCAGGGTTGGGATAGAACAAGGGATGAGGGTGATAGGATGAGCTGGCAATGGATTCCAGCACAGAAGACAGTATTACATGAAACTGGTTAACTCTGAGGTAGAGATTGGAGAGGGAGAAAAAGGAAGCCAGAGTTGGAGTAAAAGGAAAGAAAGCAGAGTCACCTACTGTAGAAGACCCTTCCAAGATATTTAGTCACAAAGAGAAGGAGGTATACGGAATGATAGCTGTTCGGGATGGATGAGTAAAAACACCTTGAATGAGGCTTTCTTGAGGATGGGAGACATGGGTATGTCTGCAGGCGGCAGGAAATAGCCAGTAGACAGGGAAAGATTTAAGATAAGTGAGAGAGTGTGGATAATTTAGTAGAGAAAAAGGACGGAATAAGATCACTTCTGCATTTGGAAGAGTTATCTTGGCAAGGAAAAGGGCCACCTCTTCATGGGAAACAGGTGAAGGAGGAAAGAGTTGAAGAATTCTTCCGGGAGGTAGGAGATATGGAGGAAGGGAAGGAGTGAGCTCTATACAAATGGCCTCAATTTTTTTTCCAGTGAAATATGAGGCAAAATTCTCAGCTGAGAGAGTGGGAGGAGGGAAGCTATGAGAGGTTCAAGAAGGAATGGGAGTCTGGAAAAGCCGCTGTGATAAGTGGGATAGTGAACTCATTAAGGATGGGTTAAAGGATTGCCAGGCTGCAATGAAGGCCCAGTTGAGATTATGTAATATAAATTTGTAGTGGAGTGAATAATCCTTAATAAATGCTTATTAAGTACCTAGTATGTACCAGGCGCTGTGCTAAGCACTTGGAGATACAAAAAGAGGCAGAAGACAGCAACTGCCCTCAAGGAGCTTACAATCTAATGAGGGAGCCAATATTCACGCAAATACAGATGAGGCAAGCTAGATCCAGGATCAAGAGGAAATAACTAACAGAGGGAAGGCAATGGAGTTAAGAGAGGTTGGGTAAGGCTTCCAGTAAAAAATGGGATTTTAAGCAAGAGAGTTCAGTAGGTTCAGAAGGTTTGGTAGGCGCAGAGGAAAAAGAGGTGGAGTCCAGGGATGGGGGAGAGACAGAGAAAATGGCCAGAGCTGAGAGCTGCAGTGTCTTGTCTATGGAACCTCCAAGAGACCAGTGTCGCTGGACCGAAGAGGAAATGGAAAGGTAGGAGGAGTCTAGGCTATGAAAGACTTTGAATGTCAAACAGAGAGTTGTGTATTTGATCTTGAAGGGAATAGGGAGCCGCTCACTGGAGTTTATTGAGGAAGGGGGTGACACAGTCAGACCTGAGCATTAGGAAAATCACTTTAGTGGCTGAATGGAGGATGGATTGGAGTGGGGAAAGACATAAAGCAGGCTGTCCCACCAGCAGCTATTGCAATAAGCCAAGAATAAGATGAGGAGGGTCTTCACTGGAGTGGTGGCAGTCAGTGGAGAGATGGGGAATGTTTGAGAGAAGTTGCAAAGGTGAAATAAACAGGCCTCGGAAACTGCTTGAATGTGGGGGGGGTGGGAGGTTAGGGAGGAGTCCAGGATGACTCCTAGGCTGTGAGCCAGAGGGACTGGGAGAAAGGTGTTGCTCTCTTCAACAATAAAGAAGGTACGCGTAAGGGGGGGAGGGTTTGGGGGGGAAGAAAATGAGTTGAGATCTTCATTAAAATAAAGGGGCATGGGACTAGAGAAATTGTGGAGTTAGGGTATTTGATGGAGTATCAGTAAGTGTGTTGAAGTCCCCAAGAGTGTGAGGGCAGGAGGTGGGGAGGAAAGAAAATCTGTGAGCCAAGCATTGGACTCATTGAGGAAGGAAGGAAAGTGTTCTGAAGGTTTGTAGACAACAGCTACCAGAATCTTGTTTGGGTGATAAATATGGATTGAATGAACTTCAAAGGAAAAAGAACTGAGAGACAGTAGTAGAAGAAGAGCTGGGGTGGCATTTGGTGGCAAGGAGTAGCCCAGCCTCGCCATGACCAGTGAGTTGGGAGGGGAGGGGAAGGGTTTGAGTGAAAGTGCAACCAGTGCCAGACAGGGTAGGCAGGGAAACGGGATCATCAAGGACAGGATTAAGATGAAAAGTATCTTGTTACCTATGGAACAGGCATTCTAGAGAGCCCAGCAAGCACATCACAGAGAGCACAGAGCGGAAGCTGGGGGGGGAGTGGATTGAAGGGGATGGGAATAAGGAAAGGGGCAGTGGAGAATGGAAAATGGGATTTGAGCCATAGCAGCTGGGGGGGTTCAAAATCTAAGCCCTCCCTGGCTTCATAGCTGTCACCCTCCAGCAAGGCACAGCTTCGAGAGTATTGGTTTGCAGTTTTCACACCTGGGTTTAAATTCTGGCTCTATCACTCCTTCCCTATGTGACCTTGGATAAGTCACTTCTCCTACATGGGCTTCAGTTTTGTATAAAATGAAGGTGTTGGAATGTTCTCTAAGATCTCTTCCATCTCTGAGCCTGTGGGTTTGTCGCTGTTGTTTTTGTTGTTTGCAGGCAGAGTTAAGTGACTAGCCCAGGGTCACACAGCTGATAAGTGTCCGAGGCCATATTCGAACTCAACTCTTCCTGACTCCAGGGCCAGTGCTCTATCCACTGTACCACCTAGCTACCCCCAATCCCCCCACCCCAAGCCTGTGATTTATGATCCACCTAAGAAAGGAAGATTCCATGTGCATCTCAGAATTCTTCAAGGGGGAAGCTATGAGGACGTTGTTGCTTGAGGTAGAGCTGCAGCTTCCTTCTCAAGGTGTCCACCCTTTAAAATTAAAAGCAACGAATGCGCCTAGTTTTCATTTATGTTGCGTTGTCAGGTTCCTCTTAAGAAGATAATGCTGCTTGAGGGCAGGGGCTACGTGCTATTCATCTGTGTCTCTACCATCTAGCAGAACTCCTGGCAAATAGTAATCGCTTTATAAATCCTTGTTCATTGGTTGATAAATTAGTTAATTGGCTGGTTGTCTAATCATTTCTGTACAGACCTGATGATAGAATGTATTTCTTTCACCTGAGGTGGCCCTCAAGTAAGTTTAGAGACTCATTGCAAGGTTTGACATCAAGTGATGAAATATTTCAGCCACAGCACCTCATTAAGAGCCTCAACTAAGTTATGGAGCAGATGTGATCTGTGCTGGTAGAAGAAAAGAGCCATATAGGTACAATTTGCAGGCTTCAAATGACCCAGTGGATGGAGGTCTTGACCTCGAGTCAGGAAGACCCGAGATTAAAGCCTCCTTCAGACACTTATCATGTGACTCTGAGCAAGTCACTTAACCTGTGTGTGTCTCAGTTTTCTCATCCATAAAACGGGAATAATAATAGCACCTATTTCTCTGGGTTATTGGGAAGATAAAATAAGGTTTGTAAAGCATTATGGAAACTATCATAATAATAATTATTAATGCAATTATTGGTGTTGCTGCTGCTATTGTTACTGAAATAAGGAGCTTACTCATTTACTTAAGCCTACACTTTTTGTTTTGGTTGGAATGTTGACATATGACATTGTCCCCTAGAGGAAGCCTGAAAATCTGCATCTTTAAAAGTCAGAGATTTGTTTTTTCTTTCTACTCATCCAGGTTTAAACAACATACCTATCTGTGCCGTGAATGACGACAGCTTCCTTAAGGGACTGTATAACGTTAGCCACTTGACCACCCCAGATAAGGATGTGCCTCCACTTAGCAAAGTCATCAGTGCCAATAACAACAGCTCTTTCCATAACTCAGGGTCAAACAAAATGAAAATGCCCCCTCGGCCTAATTCTGGTAAGTCACAAAAGACTCGATGACACGATAAATGATGGAACTCAAGAGAAAAAAAGCAATCATTTAATATTTTGGCACATCAGAAATAAAATAGGCTTTTTAAGGGTTTATGCGTATTATCCCTTTCCTGCTAGGTCTAAGATTCAGTATATTCCGCATTAGCCAAGCCTCCACCCCACAGGAAATGCTCTGTAGCTACTATTAATAGAATATACTTTCTGAATGAGACATACATTTTCAGATTATTTTAGGACATTTTTAGCTAATTTCTGGATTTGTTTTGCTTAAATATGCTTACTTGCTACAAGAGAGAGCTTTTTTATCATTAAGGGGTGCATGGAAAAAAGGGATAGTGATACATTCCAAATAGATGAAAATAAACAAAAGAATGGCAATGAAATATTTTAAAGACACACAAAATAGGGGAGAAAGAAGTGCAGGAGGGAACACAGATAAGTAGGGCAATGTTAGAATAACAATTTATAATTTTAATATATAATATTGAGTATATAAATATATAGTTGTTTTTAAACAACCTATATGTAACAGAACCATATAAAATCTTTTTACTCTTCTGGCTTGTATAAGAAAATCTTCATGTTTGTTGGTGGTTGTGAAGTTCATAATAACGGAAAATTTAAAAATGATAATTACTCCAAAAAGTTCCTCAACACATTTACTATTTGTGTGATGTTGGCTAGGTCTCTTAATCTCCCTGAGCCTTGGTTTCCTCAGCTGTAAAATGAGGAAAGTGTACTATAATAGATGGTTTCTGAGGTGCCTTCTATTTCTACTTCTATGATTGTATGGTTTTATAATCAATACTAAAAGAGTTTAATTGAGCTAAGAATAGCCAGTTTCATTGTTTTATCATAAGCTCACCAGCCTCTCAATGAAGAAGGAAGAGGAAAGTGTCACTGATAGGAATGTATCCATCAGAAGCAGCAGGTTTTGGGCTGCATTGCTCTGCATGCCTGAGACAGCTGCTGAACACTTAGCCTGAACCCATTCACTAACTCCTTATGCTGGGCTCAGCAATCCCTAACTTGCTCTGGTATCTCAAAGGTGAGTTTCCTCCTGGAGCCTCCATTTTGTGCAAGGATCCAGGCTGGCCCACCATCATTCTCCTCCCTGCCCTGTCTCTGACTTTTTAAACTTCTCAAAACCATGCCCCCTGCATTGAGTATACTATCTTCAGCTCCCACAAAGATTTATCAATTTCTTTTGAATATAAGCTCTTTGAGGGACAAACTCTTTTTGCTTGTATTTGTATCAGTAGTGCTTAGCACAGAGCCTGGCACATAGTAAGCACTTAATAAATAGTTATTTCCTCCCTGCTTCCTTCCTTCTTCCTTCTCTTCCTTCCTTCCTTTTCTTCCTCCACTTCTTCCTTCTTTTTTCTTCTCTTCCTTCTTTCTTCTGTCCCTTTCTTCCTTCTTTCCTTCCTTCCTTCCTTCCCCTTCCTCCTTCCCTTCCTTCTTTCTGTCCTTTTTCCTGTTTTCCCTTCCTTCCTTTTTCTCTTCCATCTTTCTTCCCTCCTTCCCTCCCACTTCTTCCCCTTCCTTGGGTGTTAAGCCTCCAGGAAAGAAATGATGAAACACGAGAACTGTCCCAATAATAATGGTAGCCTTCGAGAAATGCCATTCATAGTGTCCTGGAACCTTTGTAGATAACTCTTCAAATGTCAATTGTCTAGAAATGGGCCATTTAAAATTTAGCTGGGTTGGTCCCTTGATAACATCATCAATTTCCTATTTGGACTTGGTGCTTTTCCAGCTGAGGGGGGGGGGGGTTAACAGAGCCTCCTCTCCCCTGACACAGACTGAGAATCTCCCGTTACTCCCACATCTCCAATGAATCATTTGAGTAGAATTTCAGCGAAGGGAATTGATAACATCTCAAAATATTCGCATCATGATTTATGGATTGATTTCAACATTTTAAATCTTTTACTTTCTGATATATTTGAAGCAACCAGTTTACTTTTCATCTCTTTGAAGCTGTTTCCCAAGTACTATAAAGTGAAGGCACCAAAAACTTATTTTAAAGTTTCTGTACAATGTTTGCCTTCCTGCAATACATTGAATTCCACAAGAGTTTATGAAGCATTGTTGTATGCCAGGCATTGTGCTGGAGTGGTGTTGGGGATACAGGTCCTGTCTTCAAGATCATAACATTCTACCTGGGTTGGGGGAGGGGGGTGTATGGCAGGATTAACATGCATACAGTTAAATAAATATAAAATGTATATAAAAACGATTGCGGGAGGACTACATATGCCTCAGGGAACCAAGAAAGATCCATTGAAATGAGTAGAAAACTATAGATTCTAAGAGGAGAAGATGGGGATGCTTGGGGAATAGCATGTACATATGTGTTGAAACAGGAGATGGAGTATCATATTTAGTTGGACCACTTGGCTAGAATTTTGAGTTGGGGGAGTAGATGATGTGAGACTGTTCTAGACAGATAAAATGAAGTCAGATGGTAAAGGGCTTTGAATGCTGAGACAAGAAAACAATATACTCAATGACTGTAATGGAAAGAATAACCACCCAAAATCAAAAGCATATGTTGAAAACGATAAAGAATAACCGTAGATCAAAAGAAGAGATATAAGGAGTCTCCACCTCACTGAGCCTTGGCAGTGGTGGGAGGTTCACTAGTGTCACACATTGCAGTTGTTTTCACACTATTATTGATGTGTTGGTTAATTTGTGCTGATTTTTCATCTTTCTCTTTTTTTGTCTTTAAAAACATTCTTCGTTATAAGGGATAGTTCTCTGAGAGTGGAGAAAAGAAGGGATATTTGGAAGAAGTTATGGTGATGTGAATAAGAAAATAAGCAAAATTTATCTCTTAGAAAACAAAAATAAATTTTCAAAGAGTGGATGAGGACCTGAATTAGGTGGTGACCTTGTGAGTAGGGACAAAGGGGAAATGTGAGAAATATTGTAGAAATAGAATCATGATCAGCTATGGAGGGTTAGGAGTAATGAAGAACCAAAGACAATTCCAAGGTTCCATGCCAGGTTGACTAGAGGGATAGTGCTGCCTTTTTCAAAAGTAGGGAAGTAAAGAGGAAGAGTGGATTTAGAAGGAAAGATGATGAGTTTTGGGTTTTGGGTATATTGAGTTTAAAATGTTTATGGGGCAACCAGAGGGAGATGTCCAACAAGATGTGGTACTAGAGCTCAGGAGATATGAGTAAAGGATAGGAAGATTTGGGAGTCATCTGCTTAGGAATGTTAGTCAATCACAAAGGGTCTGACAAGTTCACCAAAAAAGTATAGAGGAAAAAAAAAGAAGACCCAGATCAGAGCTCTGCTGTACCCTAATACAATAAGAATAAGACACTGACAATGGGACAGTAGAGTCAGGCTTTGAGTCAGAGGTCCTGAGTTCAAAACGCACTTCTAATGATACTTGCATAACACAGAACAAATCACTCAACCTCACTGGGTCTTGTTTTCCTCATCTGTAAAATTAAAGGATTGCACTAGATACCTCTGAGGTCCCCTTCCGCCCAGCATCTATGATTTTATGTAAAGAGTACTGAGGTGGAGCCACCAGACAGTAGTGAATAGTGTCACAGAAACCCAGGAAGGAAAGAATATGTAGGAAGAGAGGTTAACCAGCAGCACCAAAGGCAAGGTCAGGAAGGCTAAGGACTCAGAAAAGACAATCGGACTTGGCACTTACGGTATCATCGCTGACCTCAGACAGAGCAGTTTCAGTCTCCTGGTATATTTGGAAGCCAGGTTGTGTGCTCTGGCTGAATACTAAAGGTAAACACATCAGTGGGGGCTCATGAGCTATGGTTTTTAAGGGGGTAAGGTCTCAAAGAACCTTAAACCTGGGGGTAGTTGTGTATTGGGGGACCTACCTTGAGGGTTGGATAGAAGCCCAAGGTGCTACTTATAGAATCCATTATAGCCACAGCAACTAAGTATTTGCATCTGTAGTTCATCTGCCAACATATGGAAATGGATACCATGCCACATAAGAGCAAAATTCCCTTACAGTTTGACCTAAAACTGTTTTTCCCTCAATTCAATTTCAGAGCCCTGTAAACAAACAAAAGGCTTTTTTGATGGTCCCTATGAAGGTGTTTTAAGGATTAAAAAGGTAAGAAAATTATTACCAGCTATCTGTGTTCAATTATCTCTCTACAAATTATCAGCCTTTCATTTCCCTTCACATACCTTTCTGAAAACTAAACAAAGGAATGGATGGTATGGTAATGGTGATAATAATAGTAATAACATAAACTCATATTTACATGCTTAATCCTTTTATAAATAACTAGTTAGCTCAAGAGCAGGTTCTAGGAAATCACATTTCCTAACTTCTAGGCTAACATTCTTGTCACCAAACTACCATAGGGGTGAAAGCATAGAGGGAATACCTTCGACAATATCTTTCCTATGAAAAATAATGTACCTCTCTAATTATATCTTTTAGAACGGCACTCTTTGCCTTATGTAAATTATCAGCTAGGTGTAGGAATTCCCCTCCTAAAACCCCAAAGGGTCACATATTTTAAAACTTTATTCAACTAGTGTAGGGCGTGTTCCAACTGACCCGGACTCCCCTGCCGCCTTTAGCCTAAGGGAGTGCATGTAGTCGCCTGAGGACCTCTGGTATCATGTAAAAGACATGAGGTGAAGGAGGCGATCCTGAGTAAGTGATTGGTCAGCACTACTCTTGATATGCGCTCCTCACAAGGCCAAGATCTTCGGGGCGGCGTACAGTGGCTTGCCTGGGCGGAGGTAAGAAAGGGTGACCAATGGGAGCTTATTTGGAGCTTACGAGGAGAAAAAGATATGTAAAGAGCAAGGGAAAGGAGGAAGAGAGGGAGGAAGAATAAAGAGGAGATACTGAAAGTTGTTTTGTCCCGTGTGTTCTGTGGGGGATGTTCTGCAGCTTAAAGAAGCTGGTGCCGGAGACGTCCAAACCTGTTGAGGTAAGTATAAGAGGTGAGTCTTAAAATATTGCCCAAGTTCTTTGACCTATTAAGAGATACAGGAACCTTACAAACTAGGCTCTCATCAACATTATTAAACATGGAACACCTGTTCCAAACACGTTGTCCTCCAAATGAATGTCCTCCAAACACACAGCCATCTTGCTTCTCTGTCTTGGTAGGACAATCACAGTATTTGCCTGAGCTTTGGAAGTGGAGAGAGGCAGATAAGATTCCATAATTTCCTACAGAATAGTGCTAGGACTATGGCATTAGTGGAGAACTAGGGACATCTGGTAAGGAGTAAGACAGAATTTGGGCTTTGGGCACTGGAGAATAAAGACATCAAAAAGAAACAGAGAAGCAGCATGGTCTATTCAGAAACAACGTTGGGTCCAGAGCCAGAGGACCCCATGGTCTGTTTCATAATCTCCATATTTCCTACCCCTCCTTTCCCACAATGCCTACTTTGTTTTAAGAAGTCTTCCTTCTAATACATACTGGCTATGTGACTGAGCAAGTAAGTCACTTAACCTCTTAGGGTTCTATGCAACCCTCTAAGACTAAAAGTTGAAGAGAAGGTGCAGAACTACATTGGTAGGAGTTTTCTCATCTGGGAATTCTCTATAGAGGTGAAAACACAGATGTCGTCCTTATTCCCTACTTTTCTCCAGTACCACAGCTTATTTCTGTGAGTCATTAATTCATTCTGCTGATTAGTGTACTGTAGCTGCTTTCTGAAAATTAGCTTAGTTCCTCTCTAGCGTAAATGGTTATTGGTTTAGTAGACTTTTGTACTTAAAAAAAAAAAGGAAATTTCATCATTAATCACCACCACCACAATAATAGGTAGCATTTATATAGCACTTTAAGGTTTGCAAAGCACCTTCCAAATATTAATTCATTTTATCCTCACCAAACCTTGGGAGGGAGGTGCTATTATTATCCCCATTTTACAGATGAGGTAACCGAGGCAGATAGTGATCAAGTGACTTGCCAACAGTCATGCAGCTAGATTCAAACTCAGGTCCAAATAATGCAGCACTCTCTATGCACCTCAGGATTTAGCTATGTGTGTGTGTATTTGCACAGGTCTATATCTTTTATTACCCATATGTTTTCTTCAGTTTTAACATGAATTCTAATTGGAGGCAAAATGAAATGATTGCATTATGCCTTTGATTTAGGAAGCCCTTTGGGGCAGAAGTCGCATTTCACTCCCAAAGGCAAACCAAGGTCCAGTGGCCTCTGAACACATTGATCCCAAGAGTGAAGTGAGAGGCAAGACAATTTGCATACCAAACTACCTGGATCAGGAAATAAAAGTAAGAGCCGTATTTAGCATTGTTACTGTAATCAAAGAATGTGTAAATACATGAGTTATTCTATCCACAGGCATTTATGAGGTCCCTGCTATTTGCCAGGCGCTATACCAGGCCCTGAGGACACAGGGACATAAATGACTGTCCCTGACCTCATGAAGCTTACATTCTAACCGAGGAGATATTTTACGCATTTATACAGGAATTTATCAGCTAGACACAGATACATACAAAGTAATTTGGTACTTGAGTTTCTTCCTTTTTCTTTGTTTTTTGGCTAGGCAATGGGGTTAAGGGACTTGCCCAGGGTCACGCAGCTGGTGAGTATCATATATCTGAGTCCACATTTGAACTCAGGTCCTCCTGACTCCAGAGCCGATGCTCTATCCACTGTGCTACCTAGCTGCCCTGGTGCTTGAGTCTCTTGAAGGCAACTAGAAATTCGAAGGGGCAGAGATGAGGAGGAAGTATATACTAGGAATGGGGTATAACCAGTGCAAAGGTACAGAGACAGGAGATGAAATGTCATCTACAAAAAAATGTAAGAACTGAAAAGGCATAGAAACAAGGAGAAATGGAGTAATGGATTGCTTATGATATTATAGAATATATTACAGAATATTGCTTATAGTATTTTTTACTGTGTGCATTGAATGCTTGTGAGGAGGAAGATTCTGGGAGTGGCCATGCTCATGAGTGTGTTAGAGGGTTGGTTTAGTGTGGCTGACAGACTCAAGTGATACACTTCTCAGTAACTGCTAACACTTTCTAGGATGGGAACAAATCAGCTAGGAAGGGACAGCACTAGGAAGGTATAAAAAGAGCAGCTTTGTAAGGAGGGGATCTTCTGGGAGGTCCAGCTACTCAGTAATACGTGGTTTCCTGAGGGCCACAATGTAAGTTTAGCTCCGTGGCAAATAAGTTATAGTCATAATGCGCGCAGTTATCTTATAACAATCACTCAGGAGGGACTATGGGTCTCAGTTTCCTCATCTGTAAAATGAGCAGGTTCAACAAGATGGTCTCTGAAATTCCCTTCCCATCTCTATGATCTCTACCTCACATGGAAGGTGTGTACTGTTCATATGAAATGATATGTTCACATGGGTTATCCAAATGACCTTGAGGGGAGGAATGGATAATCTCCGCCTCTATCCATGGGATACTTTAATTCTTGACTGGAGGGGAGCGGAAAACTGGAGCTGCAAGACTACCGCTCTGAGAGAAAGGTTACCAGACTAGAATTATATCTCTCTGTCCCCCTACATATCCAATAATTCAAAAAACATTTATTAAGCACCTACTATGGGCCAGGCCCTGTGCTAAGTACTGAGGATACAAAAAAGAAACAAAAGCCTCTGCCCCCAAGGAGCTTACAATCTAACAGGGAAGACAATACACAGAAGGAAACTGAAGGGTGGGTAGAAAGGCATGGTGTTTGTTTGCGAAAGAGAAACCGAGAAGGGCCTCTAATGGAAAATGAAGAGTTACCTGGAAAGTTCAGAGCCCTCTGTAAAGGAAGGCTTCGAGAGGCTGAAGGTTCCTCACCCTGATTTAGACAATAAATTTCTTATTCTATTATTTTGGGTTTAGTCGTCAACTTCATGCAGTTTTCTGCTTCTGGGAGCCATTTTTCCTAGGAAATTCTGTGCTGAAAGGACCCATCCTTGATTACCATTCACAAATTATAGAATCCAATATTCTTTTTTAAAACTTTTGATTTAAAGTGTTGAGTTCCAAATTCCATCTGAATGGGATGTCCCAGTGAAGACTCCACAGTGTAATTAAGGTTTGGGATAAGGCTGAGTGGGATAAGGGGTCCCATGAAGACTTCTCAGAAGAATAAATAGAAATTGTATTAGACTCAAGGCAGGCATAGCAGCCTGACAGGCCTAAGTTTCAGTTTACTAGAAATCACCAGAGTTACAGGAGTCCAGTCCCAAGTACCCCCTTACCCCTTTTTAGGCCATTGTTATATCAGTAGTTAAAGTTTGCCAAGCCTGAAACTCCTGAAGAAGCCCCCCTGTATCTTGTTGTACCTGTTGCTATATTCCAGTCATGGTGACCTGGCTATACAGTAGAACGTATCTCAGTAGTTAAAGTTTGAAACCCACCCCCGCCTTTGTATCGTATTGTTACACCTGTTGCTATATTCTGGTTACGGTGGTAACCTTGCCACAACAGCACAGTGTCTAGCTTGACTGCACATTTTTAATTGTTTCTTTGGCAACACTTCAGTAAACTAAGGGGCTAAATACAGAAATGGATATTGTTCTCTATGTTATGTTTTCTGTTTCTGTAGATTGAGAGCCAAACATTGGCCAGTTGGTGGGAGGGGAGACTTTACCCGTTAGGGCTATTTAAGTTAGTTCTTAGCTACTGTACTCTGTCTCCCCTCATCAGGGCATCCTGGTGGAGGGACATCCTATTCTCGAGAATAGTAAATAAAAATTAACTTTCTGTTTCTACTTGGATACCTCTGTGTTAAGTGGCATGCCACATACATCCTTCCTCCCTTAGACAGTAAGCAATCATATATAGATTACACATGTGCAATTATGTAAAACATTTCCATTTTAGTCATTTTGTACAAGAAGACTCAAAAGAAACAAATGAAAGAAAATAAAAAATAGGATGCTTCAGTCTCTATTCAGCCAATATCAGTTCTGTCTCTGGAGGCAGATAGTATGGTCCTTTAGGATCTTCTTAGATCATTGTATTGCTGAGAATAGCTGAGTCATTCATACTTCTTCATCAAAAAATATTTCTGTTACTGTGTACAATGTTCTTCTGGTTCTGTTCACTTCACTATGAATCTGTATTATTCACAGGGTGTCATAGCCAGCCAGGTTCAGTATTATGCAAGTGGGAAACCTTTCTTTTTGGAAAGGAAATAGCAATTCAAGAGGATAATTAACTCTGTAAGGCCTTCTCAACCTTCTTAGATATTTACTAGTAGCAGCTCTCAGCTCTCATTCCCTCTGAGCAGCTTATGACATTTTCCTTGAACAATGGGGTTATTAATAAGCTTAACAATAATTTAAACAGTTATACCTGAATTCAAAACTCAGAACAAATCAAATTACAGTCTCAAGAGATTTTGCCTCACACTGCAAATTTCACTAATCACATCTTAGGGCAGGATACAGTTATTTTTCTTATTATTTCAATAACATTCAGTTAAAAAAACAGTAATTAATTTTTTTAAATGAGACATTTATCCCAAATATTCATCAAGGACATAAAAGGTCTTCCTAAAAAGAAAAAAAAACCTTTCATTTGGGAGAGTATATGTATATGTATATATGTATCCATTGTTCATATATATTACATTCAGATATCTTGATATAATAATTAGCAAAGATTAAGAAAACAATCACATTCTGGGATTTCATACAAAAAGTTAATATATCTTAGTTCAGTCAAAATTCAGAAAGACACTACTATATCTGTATCCCAAAGAGATCATAAAAAGGGGAAAGGACCCACATGTACAAAAATATTTATAGCAGCTCTTTTTTTGTGGTGACAAAGAATTGGAAATGGAGGGGATGCTCATCAATTGGGGAATGGCTGAACAAGTTGTGGTATATAAATTTAATGGAATACTATTGCGTTAAAAGAAATGATGAGCAGGCAGATTTCAGAAAAACCTGGAAAGACTTCATGAACTGATGCAGAGTGAAATGAACAGAACCAGGAAAATATTGTACACAGTAACAGCAACACTGTGAGATGATCCATTATGACTGACTTAGCTCTTCTCAGCAATACCATGGTCTTATAATTCCAAAAGACTCATGATGGAAAATGCTATCCACATCCAGAGAAAGAACTGATGGAGTCTGAATGCAGATTGAAGCAGACTATTTTCACTTCACTTTTTTTCATGGTTTTTTTTTTACCTTTTGTTCTGTTTCTTCTTTCACAGCATGACTAATAGGGAAACATGTTTTACATGATTGTACATACATCACCTATATCAAATTGCTTACTGTCTTAGGGAGGGAGAAAATTTGGAACTCACAGTCAAAAATTATCTTTACATGTAATTGGAAAAAATAAAATACAATTAAAAATAAATCAGCAAGTAGTTATTAATAACCTACTATGTGGCAGGTGAGGAGTGCTTGGCCTTTTTTAGTGTCATGGATCCCTTTGTCCATATAGTGAAGCCTTTCTCAGAATAATGCTCTTAAATGCATACGATAAACTACCCAGGACTATAAATGAAACTAATTATATTGAAATAAAGCTATCAAAATATTAAAAGAGCAGGTTTCCAGACCCCAGGTTAAGAGCAAATGTTCGAGGCAATGGCGATCCAAAGATAAAAGCCTCCTCTAAAGGCTTACATTCTGTCAGGTGTGTGATATTCGATGCCTCTTCTTACTGCTAGAATAGCCAAGGATGAATTCTGTGAGGACAGGCTATTTCCCCAAGGGAATATTCTTTACCACTTCCCAAATGTGTTTCTTTCAGATTCTGTCCAAGCTCCGTGAAATTCTACAAACAGACTCCCTGGCCGAACTCCTCAAGTGGCTTCTCCATGCAAATGTGAAAGGTAAGAGGCAGGAACATTATAATGCCCCAGGCAAGCTATTCAGAAACCACGGGCTGCTTTCTGTCCTGAAAGAGGCTTAAAAGCTAGGGAAAACTTGGCTCCTGTACCATGGATTTACAAAAGCTAGATGCTGGCAAGGGTTCTAAGGGCAACCTGTATCAATTAACTTCCTTCTCAGTGGAGTATCAGAGATAATTCCAGGATCCCAAGTACATCTGCTTCAGTGATGTTTCCTCCTGTTGCTAGATTCTACTCAACATGTCTCATGCCAGAAGGAGCATCTTCTCTCCAAATCAAATTTCTCTCTCAATGTCGCTGTCTTTGTCACCACTCTTCCAATCATCCATGTTTGACTCGCCCCTCTCCTTCATGCAGACATCATTTCCTATTGATTCTTCCTTCTAAAAAGTTTGAATTCTACTTTTCCTTTCCATTCCCAATGATGTCATTCTAACCCAAAAGATCACTGCCTCAAATCTTAATTACTACAGTGGCCTTATGGCTAGCTTCTCAGATACTGATAGTCCTTTTTCTATTCAACAAACAAAGCAAATTTATTAAGTACCTATTTAAACACTGGTTTTAGTGTTGGGATTTACAGTATGAATACCACTCTCTTTGTTATATTTTATATTTATTTCCCACTCCTAAGGTCAAGTTGACTGCCATATAGACATTACCCAACTTCTGGTCACCTTATTAGTTGCTACAGATTTTCCAAACCAATACTCTGACTCTTACTTAATTCTACCAAAGTCATTTCCAATCCCCCAAAGTAATGATGGTCACTCTACTATTTTTACCTCATTTCTTGGAGTCACAAATGAGTCAAGAAACAAGGCAGGTAGGCCCTGAAACTGTTTGGTATACACTTCACAATATGGCATATATATGATCTCAGGTTAGTTGTGCACACATACCTGGGCACACCTGGACTATGTTTTATGTGTAGATTAATCATTCAGTGAATGACATAGCAAGTCAAATGTTCATACCTCATATCAGGCACTTTGGAGGAATATAAAAGTCCTTTAAGATAATATTCTCACTCTGAGACATACATACACACAAAAAAAGGTAACATGTTATAGTAGGACTATCACTGGCCTGAAGCCATTAACAAGTCTCTGAAGCTCTCTGGACCTCAGGTTCTTTATACATAAAAATCGGGATCTTGGAGGCCATGATCTCAAAGGTCTCTTGTAGCTGTATCATTCAGTGATTCCAGGAAACTGAGAGATGAATGGATAAGTCTATAATGGAACTGAACTGGGTGGTTAAGACCAATTGTCAGAAATTGCCTGGCTCCTCACTCCTCCAGTCAGGTGTAACTATTTATGCCTTGACCTATAAACTTGCTCCCACTCATGTGCTGACTCCATTTCCAGACCTCATCAGGGAATATATGAGAAGGAAAAGTTGGTCCAGTAGCAAAGTGAGTTTTTCTGGTGGTCTCCCTGTACCTCAGGGAGGTATTAGACTCATTTCAGATTCATCTCTTAGACTCAACTTACTAGATATCTGATCTCAACTGCATAGTCCACTTGGATTCTGACTCAATGACCTACAGGCCTTGGGTTTCTCATTACCTCTTGCCCAGTGCCTCTATGGGAATTTCAAACAAAATGGCAGACTTTAGGGGAGATATTTGTGACAGGAGGAAAGTTTAGATGTGCTTGGTGGCGGGAATAAGGAGTAGAGTACTAGACTTGGAATCTAGAAGATCTCAGATCAAATTCCACCCCAGATATTTACTGACTGTTGGATCCTAGACAAGTCACTTAACATTTCTGAACTTCAGTTTCCTTATCTGTAAAATGAAGGGTTTGGACTCAATGAACACCAAGACCCTTTCCATTTTAAATCTATGATCTTCTTCTATGGTTCAACAGTAACAAATGATTTTGGAGTGTGAACCACTCTCTGTACAGAACCATAGAAACTAAGGTTTGGTGTGATGGTGCAGAAAACAATCTGCACTAGGGACTAGGTATAAGTAGCTAATGTTGTATTGTTCTACAGCTGAATTATTACTGCAGCTTTATTTCCCCTTTTAAATCAGAAAAAGAATGGGTTTCAGCTTTGATCCATTCAGAGCTCTCTGAGGTCAACTTGTTGAAAAACTTGGAGCAAAAGAAACCTGGAAAAGAGAAAGAAAAATCATCAGTCAAAGCTGGCATTACTCCTCTGGCAAAGAGCAAGACTCCAGCCCTAGCCAAGGAAGAGGTGCCTAAAGTCTACAGGTAATTGATGTTCCATCATGAAGAGCCTTGGTTACCAGCTGACGGACATCCAGGAGAGCCTGGAGTAGTGAAAAAGGCTCTGGAAGTCAGAGGCCAAAGTCATGGACTTTTTAGTTATGGACCACAACGTTACGGGCCACTCTGAGACTCAGTTGTCTCAAAAAAAAAAAAAAAGAAGCAATATTTATGCTACCTAACTCACAGCTTGAACTTCTATTAACTAAAAAGGGGCTATTGATTTCCTTTAACTACTTGACCATGATTTATTTTTAGGGTTTAATTTAACTTTTTTCAATGAATAAAATCTATTTTCCCTCCTTCCCATCTTCCCATGATAAAAAGAAGAAATACAAAAATCCTGGAACAAATATGCATGGTCAAGTAAAACAAATACCCAACATAGTCATGTGCAAATATATACATATATATGTATGTGTGTATATATATATATATATATACACATATATATGTGTGTGTGTGTGTATATATATATATGTGTATATATATATATATACACATATATGTGTGTGTGTGTGTATATATATATATATAGACTTTATCTTTCAAGAAGGATGTCAGAAGTTTAAAAGACTTCCCTTTAGCTTAATAGATGGATTTTTTAATAACGGGGCTTTTATATTAAAAATTCTTGATTTCTCTCCCCCCAATATTCAGGGTATAGTCTTTTCACTAAATTATCTAATCCAGCAGCTTTTCTTTTTCTATCATCTCTTTCCTAAATTGAAAGGCAAAAGAAGACCTAATAGGGGACAAAAAAATGCATGTCACTCTAAAAATGAAGAAAAAAAATACAGAAATGACTTAGTAAAAAGCCTAGATATGATTTAAATTATTCCCACCCAGGGAGGTGCCATATTCTGCCAAAAAGCAAAGTAAATAAGGGAGTGGAGAACCAAGAGAGGATAGAGAACAGAGTAGATCTGTGATTTCATCGACAGAAAGAGTTCCCAGTTGAAGAAATTCTCTCTACAAACATAGTTGTGCAATTTCTCCTCAACTTAAGTCTTAGAGAGTTGTTGAAAGCATTGAATGGTTAAATGACTTGCCAAGGATGTTGGATACATTATTAATTAATTAATCCGGCCTAAGGAAACATTCCACATTCCACAGGGGTAAAGTGGTATAGCAAGAAAACTCATCTATCTAAATCCATGTGCAGGTGCTACTTATGCAAATAGGACAAAAACTTTCCTTTAAAAAAAATGTTTTGGAAGGTCTTATGGGAAAGAAGTCAATGGAAAAATAAGATCATGTGTCACTCAGAAAGCCATATTGAAAAAGGCAAAGGAAAATGAAGTTATATGAGATATCATTGTTTGCCCCATGACAAGGTTGCTTTTTTTTGGGGGGGGGAATTATCTATTAATGCAGTTTTTTTTTCTTTTTATAAAACAGTACTGTCACCTTCTAGTTATACTGTGCCCTAATCCTTCTACCCTGACCCCCCCTCCCCAAGTAATAAATCGTATTGTTGAGATTTCTATGGTCATCAGAGGCTTTGGAAACATATTAAAACACTTTGACCTTCATTTTATATAATTATTTATTCACTACAAAACTATTAGATTTTCTGACCAGAAAGCAGATATAAGTCTATCTGGGAGCCAAGACCCTAAAAACAGGATTGTTATGTTTTGTAAACACTGAGACTTTTGTGATGATGTAATCCATAGAGGATACTTGTGTAGGCATGTAACATATATGTGAAATTCACTGTCCTTTTCCTCTGATCTAGAGTTCCAAGCCAAAAACCGGAAAAAAATAAAGTACCAAGACCAGGTTAAGTATAATTTGTGCATATTAATGACAAAATATTATAATAAAGACACAAGTCCTACCAATGGAAAGCACAACCATTTTTAATATTTAGTTTTGAAGAGATGGACACTAAATAAAAGAGCTGTTTCAAGGAGGGAAGAGATACAGATATAACCACGTATCGAATATGCCATAAATAAAAATGTTGCATAGACCGTTGTGAAAGGTAAACCCTAAAATAGGAGTTAGGGAGACAGCAAAAACTAGAGGTTTGGTCTTAGGATCACTGGCCTAGAACTGAAAGGAACTTCAGAAACTATCAGGTCTAATCTCTTCATTTTTTAGATAAACAGAGGCCCAAGCAGGTTAATATCTATGTGCCCAAAGTCACATAGGTAGTAAGTGTCAGAAGAATTAAATATGTCTAGAGCCCTGGACCTAGAGTCAGGAAGACCTGTGTTTAAAGCCAGCCTCAGACACTTCCTGGCTGTGTGACCTTAAGCAAGTCACTTAAATGCTGTCTGCAGAATAATGAGGATATTAATAAATAGGCTGTATTATTAATTAAATATCAATAAATTAATAAAAGACAGTAGTGATGGGTCTCAGAGTTTAGCTTTTTTCAATGAACAAAAAGGTATTTTCCCTCCTTCCCACCCCATTCCCTATTTTAAAAAAATAAATAAAAAGAAGACAAAATCCTATAATAAATATGCATAGTCAAGCAAAACAGATAACCGCATTGGTCATGTCCAGAAATATATGTTTGATATTCTCTTTCAAGAAGGAGGATGGATGGCAAGGGTTTAAAGACTGTCCTATTCTCCATAGATGGACCTCCAAAGGTGCCTTCTGGGCTAATGTTCTGTGATTGCTATTACTATGCTCCAGAAGTACCATGAAGGAAAGAACAATCTAGAACAGAACAAAGTGAGAAAAGCAGATGCTCGCACCTCACCTGCTCCCCATCCAGAGACCAGGTCAATTTTAAGCCACACTCAAGGGCACATTCTGAACCAAGGCATAGGAAAGAAGAAAGATCCAGCAGAGAAATTCAACTCTGATTCTCACAGAGCCGTACAGGGTTCTAACTTTGAACAAACTTATATGACGATAAAGTAACAAGATGAACCCACACACCAGAAGGGTGTGTTTCATAGTCCACACCCAAGAGAATGGACTCCAATCATCACCAGGTCCTTTACACTAATACCAGAGATGTCATAGGGCCCAAATATATCTCCTTGGATATGCCTTAACCCAGATTTCCTTGGACCATCCCAGGTTTGACCCATGTTCCATAAGCTGTATTACAAATGTTTCTGGAATACACCTGATCGACCCCTGAGATTCATCCCCAATCAGCTATTTCCACAACTGGAAGTAGACTTACAAGATATAACCCAATCAATAAGCCTATCAACCTTAGAGACAACACTGGAAGCAGAAGACCTAGGTCTAGATCTTACACCTGACATTACCTGTGTGACCTAGGGTGAGTCACTTAACTCATCTGGGACTCACTTTCCTCACATCTATAAAATCAAAGTTGACCTTGGTGGCTTTTAAGCTCCCTTCCAAATCCAAATCTGTGATTCTATAATCTATTCTCTCATTCTAAACTCAGCTGCAATAAGAGCAAGGTCCTGGTCTTATTAGGTGAGTGATTCACATAACAGAAGAGAAGTCTTTTCAGCAAAATTGGAAATCAAAGTTACTGCTGGACTTTTTCTGGAATGCTTAATAACACTGACAAAATCCAAGTAAAATCAGGCATAAGGACTGGATATTTTCATAATAAAAACCATCAACACTATTCGCTGGATTATAAAAACATAATTGTTCCATGAGAACATTACTTTGGGGAGAGACAGTTGGCAAAAAAAAAAAGAAGAAGAAGAAGAAGAAGGACGAAAGTATGGCTGTGTTGGAGCAGCTTCTACTGGCCCACAAGAGCCAACTGTTAAATTTTCAGTGTGAGCGTTTATACCTTGAAAATCAGCAAAGGCCACAAATCAGGGCTTGAGTTTTTAATTTTTTAGACTTAAGGAAGTGATGGAGAAAATGTTAACAATGCAGATAAAACTTTAAAATGTGTCACGCAAACATTTTTTTTTGAGAGTCAGTTGTTAAACATTTTTAGCACTAATTCTCCAGGGAATTCCCATTTAGCTCAGTTTCATGGAGTTCCACATTATGTAGTTCCTTAATGGAAGCTCAAGATTGAATTTACAAAGTCTCAATTCCCATGTTATCTTATTTGGGCTGTTTATTTCAGAGGCTGAGGGTAAGTCTGGATTGATTAAAGAAAGAAGCAAGCTTGAAGATGCCATTGAAGAATATTTCAGCAAAACAAAGCCTCCTGGCAAGAATCTGAAGATTTGGGAGAGAAATTACTGCCCTCGCTCAGCAGCAAAAAGCAACAGTGGCAAGAAATCAACAGTCTATATTTCCAAAGACCCACTAATGCCAATCTTTTAAAATCTTAAGTCAAAGAAACTCTACAGAATTGAATACCAACCCTGTTCTGGCTTTCCTCCTCAGAAACTCCAGGCTCATCCATTCTTACTCCCACTCAAAAAATGTTTTCAAGGTGGCCTGTAAGAAACAAGCATGGATTACTTCCTGGAGTAACAAATTTTAGTTTTCAAACATTGGTAAATTATACTTATAGATAAATATGAATGTTGAACATATTTTAATTATTTTTAGCCTGTTAGTTTTGAATATGTATGAAATAAAGTATCTATATGCCAGCATGCTCTATTTTCATGGTTTGCAGACTTACTGCATAGAAAGAGGACCCTGGTGGAGACAGGGCCATCAGAACCAGGTCTGAGTCAGTTCCACAGACCCTACCCACGCTCAGTGCCTGCATGAAAAAAATGATGAGAACTCTCATGGGGTTGGTCGGTCACAATGGGCTTCTTTCCTTCTCTCCCCCTCCCCACTCCTTTAAACTGTATATCATTGGAGGACTTGTGTATTTGAAGTCCTATTCTCTAAAATAAACCAACAATTGATTAAGAGCAGAATCTGAGCATAACACAACCCACCCTCCTCAAGCCAATGACTAGTTTTCAGTTTTTTTCAGCTTAAGGGGGATAATACAGTATAATGAGAGACAGTAGTTTGATAACAATTACTTACTTGGTCACCTGCTCTCCATAATCTTTAACTTTCACACAGCTATAATGGGGCAAGTTATAAGTTATAAATATAAAGTGACCTTAGAAATTCATAAAATATCTTTGGCAGGTCAGAGTGGTGTTCTATTAAACAGCTTTAGGAAAACACTGTTTTATCTGCCTTGGCATTTCCTATGTTGGTCCAAACCAGCTTCTTTTAAGGCTCATTAGAAAAGAACTACTCAGTACGTTTACTTCCCAGGGTGGTTTTGAAGAGCAAATGAGATATTTGTATTAACACTTAAGGCCAGAGCTTGGCACACAGGCACTTAATCCTTCCTTCCTCCTTCTTTTCTTTCCTTTCTTCCTCCATCCCTTCCTTCTTCCTTTCCTTCCTTCCTCCCTCCCTTCTTTTCTTTCTTCTCCCTTCCTCCTTTTTTCCTTCTTTCCTACCTTCCTCTCTCCCTCCCTTCCTTCCTACCCTCCTCTCTCCTTCCCTTCTTCTCTCCCTCCCATCTTTCCTTCCCTCAAGGGTTAAATCATTTATCAGAGAGAGTAGAAATAGTTTACATAAGTATTTGAGCTGCATCAGCCCGCTGTCACTCTAGACCTCAGACTTAGCATCATGATATCATACATCAAGAGCTAGAAGGGGGTCTAGAGAATATTTTGTCTAATCCCCTCATTTCACAAATAAAGAAACTAAAACTCAGGGAGACTGTGCCTTGTCCAAGGTCATGCAAGGTCAGTAAGAAAGGCAGCTAGGTGGCATAGTGGACAGAACACTGGACCAAATTCTGCCTCAGACACTTAATAGGTATGTGACCCTGAGAAAGTGGCTTAATCTGTCTACCTCAGTTTCCTCATCTGTAATTATGGGGATAATTAGAGGAACTACTTCCCAGGGTTGTTGAGATATCCGTCAAGTGTTTTCCCAGCCTTAAAGCAGGAACCCAGGGCATCTGTTTCTGAATCCAATGTTCCTATTCACTCCCATCTTCTCACTTTACAACTAAGAGGTACACAATTCCACATCAACAGTGACTGCTTCATATCAAGCAGGCCAATAGCTGTTACTGCAAGAAACTTATGAATCATCATCATTAATGAATATTGACACAAAAAATAGTAAATAAAATTTACTATCAGTAAATAGACTAGACAAATATATTTTTAAATTGCTTTAACCCAATTGGACTTATATCCAGAATATTAATAATGCTTTAATATTAGGAAAATTATCATCATAATCATATATTAATAACAAAATAAAAATCATGTTTTTATCCATAGATTAGGCAAAATGGAACATTTATTTAAGAGGGCCTTTTCTGAATATGATCAAAAGAATCTATCAAAAACTAAATGTCAGGGGTGCAGCTAGGTGGTGCAGTGGATAGAGCACCAGCCCTGGATTCAGGATTCAGGTCAGGAAGACCCGAGTTCAAATCCGCTCCCAGACGAGACACTTGATACTTACCAGCTATGTGACCCAGGGCAAGTCACTTAACCCCAACTGCCTTGCAAAAAACAAAAAACAAAACTAAATGCCAGCCTTGGACTACCATAGTAGAGCATCAGGCCAGTAGCACAGGCCCCAATGGCAGCATGGTACGTAGAGATGTAGACCCCAGCAGAGTGACAACTGCCATGGACAACTGAAAAGGTAGACTCTGCTTATCATAATCTGGAATTAACGAGACGACTACTCCTTGTCACCAGTACAGTGCCCAGTGGTCATTGGACAACTTCCCAAAGTGGGTATAGGGAACCAAAAGGCAGTGCTATTGGGAGGTGGCTTGCCTTTCAAATTGCCTACTCATCTCTGCAAGATGGCAGGCAGGCCCTCAGCAGATTTAGCATCTCCCACTTCCCCTACCCCACCAATTATGGAACTCCCAGGGAGAGGGAGGTCCTGGCTAGTGGGCTGTGAATGGGGTGATTCTTGGTTTTGACACTGGCCCTGGACAGGATATATGCAAGAGGGAAAGGACTACTTGGTTACCTTCCTACAGATGACCCTCCCTATGATGAGGATTGGTGAATGGGCCAAAAGCACACTGCAGCCCTAGTGTTCTTGCTGCTGCTCCTGCCCCTGCCCATCCTCCCTTTACACTTAGCAAAGCATAAATATTTGATGTTACCCACGCCATGGACTTGCTAAGACCGAAGATTCTATCCTTCTGAAATAAGGTGACAGTCTGAGATTCCTACTCTTTGCTCTCCAAACCCTGGGAAGCCATCAAGGGGACATTTGCCCTTTTTTTGGTTGTCTTAGTTATTTCTGTTGTTTTCCTTTTATCACTCCATTGTTGCAAGGTTAGGGTTGGTCCAATAATGGTACCACAGCCACTGAAGTGGTGGAAATAAACTGTCACCAAGGGGTGTGGTGTGGGAGGAACAGCATCTGCTATACAGGATAGGCTAGTTTTCCCATTAAAAAGGTATTGAAACCATCCTTGAGATTTAAATGGCTCAAGGACTAAGGCTAGGGCTGTTAATATAGCACCCTGCTGGCCTAATGACAAAATGTCTGCACTCAGAGTCATTAGCTCTTCCCTCAGGCTTTTGATTGGCAGATCAGCACAGCCAACAAAGAGCCTGGGAAGCTGTGTCCAATAGAATCAATACTATACCTTTGCTGAATGGTCCTTTCCTTCTAGGTTAAGTAAATTTCTTCTTATTAACAGTTAGAAGGTCTCATTTATTCCTCTCAAACCTGATCTAACACATCGACCCGACTGCAAAACTCCAAAACATCCCTTTCATAAACAAAGAATTTTAAAGATGTTCCTTATTCATGGTTGAATCACCCCAACAAAGTAAAAAGCAACATGATCATTTATGTAATCTAGAGGCTCTATCACTCAAATTGTTGAGGGATGATTTATCTTTAGAACTAGACAAAATAACAAAATTCATTTAGAGGAACAAAAGGTCTAGAATTCCAAGGGAAATAATAAGGGAAAAGAGGAATGAGCCATATCTCAAACTACATCTAATCTCTCTACTCTACATCTTCCTCGTAGATGCCAAGTCGATATTCCTAAGGCACAAATATGATCATGTTTCTCTGCTGTTTTAAGTTTCAGAAGTTTCGGTGGCTTCTTCTTACCCCTAAAACGCAAACTCCTCCAGCATTTCAAGCCTTCCACAATCTGGTTATGTTTCCAGACTGATTTCATATTACTGCCCCACACACGTTCTCTATTCCAACCAAAGCGGGGAATGACGTTCCCTTTGCATGACATTGTATTTCCTATCTCCCTTCGTTTGCATTGGCTGTCCCCCCAAGCCTGTAATACTCCATCGCTTCTTCGAATTCCTAGTTCCCATCATGGCTGAACTCGTCACCTCCTTATAAGAGACCTTTTCAATTCCCTGGTTGTCAGTACCCACAAATTATTTTGTACTTTATCGTGTTCTCCTTTTTCAGTTTTCCACCTTAGTTAACTTCCTTGAGGGAAGTCAGGGACTGTTTTATTTTTGTCTCTGTATCCCCAGCCCTGAGCACAGTCCCTGGCACCCAGTAAGCTCTTAACAAATGCCTACTGAATTGAGTTGTTTTCACTCCATCAAAGTTTTTTCCTACTGGTTAAAACAGAGAAGTGATCAGTGTAACAAATTAAACAAATACCAGAAGCAACTCAACACAGGAGTTAAGTATTTGATGAAGCTAGAAACCAAACAACTGTGAGAATTTCTTATCCACAAGAACTACTGGGAAAACTGGGAGGAAAGCAGTTTGGCAGAAAATAGGATAACAGCAATATCTTATACCATATAGCACAAGAAGCTGAAAATGGATAAGTGACAAACTTGGTAAGAGAAAAAGTGAGAAAAGGAGGTGATGCCGTTCAGATCTATAGCTGGGGGCAACTTGTAACAAAATCAGGGATATAGGGGATCACAAAAGGCAAAGTTGGTTATGTAAAATTAAAGACTTTGTATAAACAAAATAAATGCAGTTAAAATAAGACAAGAAACTTTTGAGTGTGGGAAATATTTTCATCAAATATCGTTTATAAAAAAGTGATATCCAAGATTGAGAGTTGTTACAAATATATAAAATCAAAAACATTTCCCCAGTAAAGTAGTGAAAGTTTAAGAGTGAACCGTTTTCAAAAGAATTGCAAATTATCAAAATCATATGAAAATAATGTTCCAAGTTACTAATGAAGAGGAATGGAAATTAAAGCAACTCTGATATATTACCTTACACTCACGAAACTGGCAAAGATGATAAAAGTTGGAAGTAGTTAAAGGTTCCATGAAAAGACAGGCATATTTATAGAGCTATCAAAAGGTCCAAAGATTCTGGAAGACAATTTGGAATTAGTAGAGAAAACATTTGATTTGGTGATTCTACTACTAGGCAATATACTACCAAGAGGGAACCTTTGTTCCATATATACCAAACATATTGATGGCAGCATGTTTGGTGGTAGCTAAGAACTGGAAACAAAGAAGAAATCTGTTGAATTGGGAGTGTCTGAACACATGTTGGTGTGCAAGTGAAAGTAAGGGTGGAGGCCGTGTGCAAAGAGCACTGGCTTTGGAGTTAATGGATCCGAGTTCCAATCTCACCTGGGATATTTACTGCTTGTGTGACATCGGCCAAGT